CCTGAAACTGTTATGTACAAAATTTGTTTAAGTTATATTTAATTAAACATAATTTTGGTAACTCTTGTAAATCTTTGCTTAAATTTGTGTTTTTTTTTTCTTGTTTTCTGTGTGTGTGTGAATGATCAAGTTGGGTTTGCTTGTGGAAAGGAGCCGTTAGGATTATGCAAATTCGGCGGTTTTCTTTCGGCTTTCTTCTATTATTATTTTTTCTTTTGGGTTGAAAAGTGCAGAGATTCGCATTCTTCCAGTTCCCTGAAGAGGGGTCATCGCCGGTGGCTCGGCTCGTGCGCCCTCCGAAGGGCAGAAACAAAAGGGGGAGGAAAACCGCCCTTCGGTCGTATCCACGCAAAAAGGGAACGCGCAATCCCTTGTGTAACCGGAGAGCGAGGGGGATCAGAGTGAGATGGACTTCTCTCTTGGTCTGCACTATTTTCTCCTGTTGAGCCGCTTTGTCCGGGAACATATGCACGCGATTGAGCCAATTCCCTTTCTCCCTTCGCGATTTTGACACCTACACACCCTCGTCTTGCAAAGAGGAGATAGGTTTGAGGGTGATCGAGAGTGAGATAGACAGAGAGAGTGAGAGAGATGTCCAGTATTGGCAAAATCACCGATGGAACACACATATATAGACTGAAGAGGAGGAGGAAGGGATTTTGCTGGCCGGAACTAATGACCGACGGCGCCAGATCGGACCGTTCGCAGTAATCGCGAAGAGACGCTTTGCATATTCATGGGCCGTCGCGGAAGCGCAGATCTGAACAGATCCATCCGGTACCATTGTCTGGTCAAACTTAATCTGCGGCTGCTAATGATGGATTACACTACATTTCACAAGCAAATCCACGAAACAGGTTCATCCATTTTCAAATTATCCAATGTTAATTGCACATACCAAATCTTCAATCTGCCAAAGCTTTTAAGTAAATCATTAATTTTGATATTATTATGAAAATGAATGTTATAAATTCACAGATTCACAAAATTATACAAAGTTCATCTTTTTTTGCAGTCTCAGCGGAATTTCGAAAATATTATATGTTAAAGTTTCATACAATTTCAAAAACTTTGATTCGCGTTCATTAATTTCTTATTTGTAAAGTTTACATCACTTTTTATATCATATAACGCTATATAAGTTATAACGATTTCTCCTTTAACATTAATGTATTAATACTGTTTTTTTTTTTATAATTCTACTAAACATTTTAAAAGTACAGATTTGTTCACAAATCTGTACTTTTTCAGTTTCAGCAAAAATAAGATTTTCAATTTTCTTACAATTTCAAAATTAATCAAATCTTCAATTAACTCTAATTGACTATACAAAATAATCAAGTTAATTTCAAAAAAAATACTGATCTTCAAAATAAATCTGTAACAATTAATAAATACAATATAAAAAAAATCAGATAAACTTTATTTTGAAACTCAAAAACTTTTGATTAATTCATTTAGAATGTTATATAACATGGATGGATCAGATTCGTAGTATCTCTCGTATCTTTCGTCAATCTCTTCAGCAACAATAGCACGTTGAAATATCTCAAGTTATTGTCACATAAAAAACAGAAACAGCTGATCTTCAAACAAAATAAAAAGAAAAACCTCAGCAGCATCGACAACATCAACAACCAACATCGACTGTATTATTTATTTACTTTATTTTATTCGTTTCAGTTTTATTACCAGGGAAGATCCGAATGCGATAGAAGTCGGGGCAATTAAAAGGGCCATAAAAATGCAGTTTAATTAATTCTTCTCTCTACCGCTTCTTCTTCTTCTCTCCGTGCTCTTTTTTTCTTTTCCATACACATCTTCTTTTTCCTCCTCATCTCCATTTCTTTTCCCTGCTTCGAGTTCTGGGCTCTCCGCTCTCCGTTTCCACAGAAACTGACGATTTCCGAGAATCCTCTTGGGGCCCAGAGCGTCAAAGACAGTGTGAAACTTTTATTCGTGCTCGGTGAAATTTACTATCCACCGACGGAATATGATTCCATTGAAATTCCTTTGTTTGTTTTTTTATTTTTTATTCAGATTCATCACAATTGAAATTTCACCCGTCAGTTAACATATCTTCTCCCAATCTCAAATCTCGGACGTTCCTAATGCTTCAAGTTACGTTTTTATGTCTAAACTTTTGTCAAAGATATAATTTCTTAATTCTAAATCATCAATTTGTGCTTAAAATACATGCAAACATTACTAATTAAGAAATGTCTATCACTTTCTATATCATATAACGCTATATAAGTTATAACAATTTCTCCTTTAACATTAATGTATTAATACTGTTTTTTTTTTATAATTCTACTAAACATTTTAAAACATCTGATTCATCCTTTTCTTTCCTTTTTTTTCTATGTGTCGGTTAACTGAAGATACATTGTTAAGGGTAGAGGATTAACTTCAATTAGAACGTTCTGGTTTTTTATTGCTATCGAGGGAGTTAGTTGGAGGAGTTAAAATTTTCCTCAGGTAGGCAAGCAAAGTCGACGGAGATCTCTTGTCACTTCAATTAAATAAATATTATGCTTATTTTATTTGCCCGCTTATCTGAACGTACGCATCTCCTCTACTGACGGACTGACGGGGCGGACAGACAGGTAAAGCCTTTTCACATTTTGGCACGCGCGGACTTCACCACCGACAAAACTTTTCCCCATACATTTCGTTCCCTCTTCAATTTTGGACAGCAGGAAATCAATTGTTACAGTTTTGATGGACTACAAAAGCATATGCTCTACGAATCTACCTTGGACCCTTATATTTTCATGATAATAATAATGAAATACTTATTTTGTAAACTAAATACATTTAGCATTTACTTAAGAATTAATAGTTCAAGTTTTTTTTTATAAATTATATAAAAAGACTACAAATTATTGTTCCTATAAGAATATATTTTAAATTTTAAAAAAAGTACAAATACTACAATAAAATGTATGTAATAAAAATGTTTAAGTTTCTGATTCAAATATAAAACCAATAAATTTCCGCTTATTTATATTTCGACTCAAATATTAAATTATCAACAAATAAGTGATATCAAAAGTTCACAAAAATGCGCCAAAATTTAAAAAAACATGAGTAAATGAAGTTGAAATACAAAAATATTTCAATTTTTATAAGTATGAAATCATAATATTTGCTAATTATTTGCCAATATAAAACAGTTTGATAGTTATAATAAAATAGTGTTAGTTAGTTAGTTTCTGATTCATATATTAATTTAAAAGCATTGATTTATTTAAAACTGAAATTATCAAAAAATTAAGAAATAAATAGTTCAAGTTTTTTTACAAATTATATAAAAATACTACAAATTATTGTTCCTATAAGAATAAATTTTAAATTTAAAAAAAGTACAAATACTACAATAAAATTTCTGATTCAAATATAAATCCAATAATTTTTAACAAAAATCCGATTATAAAATTGAAAAAAAAAATCAACTAATTTCATAATTTCCACTTATTTATATTTCGACTCAAATGGTAAATTATCAACAAATAAGTGATATCAAAAGTCCACAAAAATGAGCCAAAATTAAAAAAAAAAGAGTAAATGAAAATATATCAATTTTTATAAGTATAAAATCATAATGTTTGCTAATTATTTGCCAATATAAAAGAGTTTGATAGTTATAATAAAATAGTGTTAGTTTCTGATTCATATATTAATTTAAAAGCATTGATTTATTAAAAACTGAAATTATCAAAAAATCAAAAAATTAAGAAATAAATAGTTCAAGTTTTTTTTACAAATTATATAAAAATACTACAAATGATTGTTCCTATAAAAATAAATTTTAAATTTAAAAAAAGTACAAATACTACAATAAAATTTCTGATTCAAATACAAATCCAATAATTTTTAACAAAAATCCGATTATAAAATTGAAAAAAATAATCAACTAATTTCATAATTTCCACTTATTTATATTTCGACTCAAATGGTAAATTATCAACAAATAAGTGATATCAAAAGTCCACAAAAATAAGCCAAAATTAAAAAAAAGAGTAAATAAGGTTGAAATATAAAAATATTTCAATTTTTATAAGTATGAAATCATAATGTTTGCTAATTATTTGCCAATATAAAAGAGTTTGTATAGTTATAATAAAATAGTGTAAGTTTCTGATTTATATATTAATTTATTATCAAAATTTGTAGTATTTATTATTTTTTTAAGATCTACAAGTTTCTTCTTAACTAGGTCCATTTGACTAGGCAACGTTTTCATTTCTATATTCTATACTTTGTATATTTTTTTGGTACAAAAATATAATTATTTGTATAGATAAAAATTGTATTTTATATGTGAAAAATCGCAAGCAGTGATTAATGAAATGCGTGTACTTGATGGACATTTTCCCTGTAATTTCGCCCCTTGTCCTGTCTGTCCGACCAGCAACAGGAAATCAATGGTAACCGTTTTGGTGGTCGATAAGAATCTACACTGAACTCTCTCGTTGCATGTTGGATTCCGTACGCTCGGATGATTATGCAGTATTTGTTGTAACGATTATACATATTTAAAAAAAAAAGAAAGAAAAGAAAACGAAGAAGATAAATAAGGAGGTAGGAATAAATAAAAAAAAAATCGAGGGAAAAACGGTTGATCCGATATCTTTTAGCACCTGTCCTCGGGGCAGGTACTTCTTTTTGTGCGCGCCGTTTCCTCGGCCATTCAGCGACACCTGTGTTTCGTGTTTGTATGCGTGCGTGCGTGTGTGTGTGTCGACTGTTTTTATTAATGAGAGCATCATTAAACGGCGTCGGCGTCGACGTCGAGCGGAAAATGGGGAAAAGCGTTGTGCCGCGGGGTGGGGGAGGCGTATCCGACGTCCGACCAATCACGGTCCGCCGTTTCGCATCGTCGATGGTCTTGGTCGATTGGACACGCCTCCGCTTTTCCCTCCGGCCCCGCCCAGTTCTACCGTTCTGGGCGGGGCGTACGCAGCATCCCTGGTGCAGATACGCAAGAACAAAGTTAGATGTGCAGTCGAGCCGTCGGCAACGGACCAGGACTTTCGCCCTATCGCTCCAAAAACCGGTCAGCGTGAGTGCAACCAACACCCTTATCCTGTTGTGCGTCAGAAACCGAAGGGACACCTCTAAAACATTACAGATACAGAAAATAAAGTGCGCGAAGTGC